CAGACCTGTACCCCTGAAACAAATAATACATTATATGTTAAAAAAAAAAGAAGAAGATAGCAGGAAGGGAAAAATGAAGGGGGGAAATTGGAGGGGGAGACAAACCATGAGAGACTATGGACTCTGAGAAACAAACTGAGGGTTCTAGAGGGGTGGGGGTGGGGGGATAGGTTAGCCTGGTGATGGGTATTAAAGAGGGCATGTATTGAATGGAGCACTGGGTATTATACGCAAACAATGAATCACGGAACACTACATCAAAAACTAATGATGTAATGTATGGTGATTAACATAATAAAATAAAATAAGAAAAAAAAAAAAGAAAGAAATCACTGGCAAAACTGAAAAGAGACCTGAAAACTCCCAACCCTTTCTTAGCCAGTGGCACTCCTATCCTAGTCAAAAAGAAAGGAACCCCACAAACTAATATGACTACACATACCTGTACTATGTCCCAGTTCATTTCCACCTCCTCTTTAATGCTGTTGGCATTTGCTGGAAACCTCACAGGCTGCCCCTGAGGACATGTTTCAGTCTTCATTTTCTTTAAAGGGGACTGACCAAATGTAAAGTCATCTTCATTCTCTTCCTTCTTGCATGCACCTTCCCACACGGTGCTCGTGGATGGTGTCTCGGCAGTGTTGACCATGTTGGTTTCTTCATCAACTTTCAGCTTTTTGGTCCTCTGACCCGAAGGTGACTGAGCTGAATTCTTCCGTTTTGTCTTTGCTGTTTTCAGAGTCTTCACGCTATCCAATTTATTTTTCCTGTCTTCCAAATCAACATCAGCAATAGCCACAGAGTTATTCTATCAAACCACAAATAGAACACATGAGAATTAAAAGATAAAAACCGAATGCTCTGGAATATTATTCAGCAATAAAAAGGAACAAATTATTGATACACACAATAACTTGGAAGAATCTCACAGAAACTATGCTGAATGGAGGGGGGAAAAAGCAATTTGCAAAAAGTTACATACCTTATAATTTACATAACATTAATGATTTATGCTTTATATAACAATCCCGAAAAAATTAGTGGTTACTGGGGGGGTCAAGATGGGGATAAGGGTCCGAAGGGAGGTGGGTGTGGCTACAAAAAGGCAAATACTAGGCAGTACTAGGGATTCTTGTAGTGATGGAACCATTCTGGATGATGGATACACATATGTATACATGTGATAAAATTGTACAGAACTAAACATACAGAAATACACAAATAAATGAATACAAAAAAAAACAGAGAAATGTCATAAGATCCCTGGATTTTATCAATATAAATATCCTGGTTGTGGTATTTTACTATAGTTTTGTAAAATGCACTACTGGAAGAAATTAAAGGGTACACAATCTCTATCATTTTTTATAACTGTGTGTGAATCTATAATTATCTAGAAATAAAAAGTTTCATTTTTTAAAATGAGTAAAGGATAAGTCTACGCATGCTGGAAAAACCAAGATTTAAAACTTGCAATCAAAAGTCAACCCTTTGGGGGAAAAAAGTAACAACTCACACACTCATAAAACTCAACAGACTATACCTGCCACCAATTTATGCAGAAGGCTAGGGAACAGAAAACACA